GCTCTGATTTCTCAGCCAATGGGATGACACATACAAAACTGAAAGACAAACTGTCAACCAAGAATCGTATACCTAGCAAAGCTGTCCCTGAAATATGACGGCAAAATTAGGACATTTCCAGTTAAACAGAAATTAAAGGAATTTGTAATGCCTAAACTAACTTCACAAAAAATGCTAAACATTGTTCTTTGGACTGAGAACCAGCAACAGCAGGTAACCTGAGATTACCAAACACGACAACACCACCCAGAACTCAATCCAGATATAGAAGTATAAAGTAAAACACATCTACAAGACTGAAAATGGGGAACCAGAGATAACAATGAATCATGAAGTCAACTTCAAAGCAAAAAGATAGAATAGTGTAGATACAGAGCTTCCAAATGGCAAGGAAGTCAAGCATATTCAAGATAAAACACTGTTTGAAGTAGAAAAAAATAAATCACAGGATAAATTCAAGGAAAAATAATCCACCTGCACATCAAAATAAAAAGAGAGGAAAATTACTATGAGTTGGTATTGACTCGATCTAACAATAATGACAAATAGTTTCCAAGAAGCAGCTGGTGGGTTTGAACTGACAACCTTGTGGTTCACAGTCCACTGCTGATCCTTCAGCACCGTACCAGAAGTCCAAAACAAGCCTTGTTTTTGTTGTTAAGTGCAATCGAGTCGATTCCGACTCATAACGATCCTGCATAGGGTTTCCCCTTGAGGAATGGCTAGTGAGATTGGACCACTGAAGTTGCAATTCAAACCAACTTTCCCAACCAGAGCATTAACCCACAATGTCACACCAGGACCCAAACCAAACCTACAAGACAGAAAATAGGGAATCAGGGATACTAATGTATAATGAAGCCAACTACAAAGCTACAAGAGGGACTAGCGTAGATGCAGTACTTCCAAATGACAAGGAAGTCAAGTAGGTTTCAAGGTAAAACAGGCTGTTCTAAACAGGGAAAAAAATTAATAAATTATTATAGAGTATCCTCAAAGAAAAATAATACACCTGCATATCAAAATGAGAAAAGAGGAAAATCAGGAAGATGTAGTAAACATTAACACAACAGAAATGAAAATTAATAGAAAACTCACAAACAAAATGCACTCAGCATAGAAAATTATGTGGAGCAAGAACTCCAGCAGAACCACACAAAAAAATAAAAAACACAGATAAGTGACAGAGATCAATTGGTAATCACACTGAATGTAACTAGCTTAAATGGACCAGTCAAGAGATATAAAGAGCAGAATGGGTAAGAAAACAGGATCCTTCAGTATGCTGTCTATAAGAGACACATCAAAAAGACGGAGACAGCTTCAATGCCCATCAACAGAATGATTAAAACAAACTTTGGTGCAGATATACAATGAAATATACTACAAAATGTTAAAGACTAATGATGATTGTGTGAAACGCCTCACAACATGGTTGGACCTGGAGGAGGTTATGTTGAATGAAATCAGTCAATTACAAAAGGGCAAGCATTGTATGAGATCAATGCTGTAAAAAGTTAAAAAAAAGTTTTTCTTGATAAAAGACACAGTCTATGATAGTTGGTGATGGGAGGGCAAGAGAAAATTAGAGGGTAGAGACATGTTAACATGGTGACAGGGCACAAGAGGGAGGTTAACAGAGGAAAGATGACGATGGCAGAGACACAGGGAGGAATGCAACAGTAAGTAAATGCTGCTAACTGGACAGGTTGCAACCATGAAGTGAGGCAAAGTGTATGGTTTGTTGAATGTAAAGCTGACCATCAGCTCGGTAAGCCTTCACTCAATTCACAATAAAAGTTAAAAAACAAAACAAAACAAAAAACCAGATTTGATGTATTAAACACTAATGACTGAAGACCTGAGGAGCTGTGGGATGCAAAAGGTTATTAAAAAGACAGGGAAGAAAGAACAGGAAAAAAGGGATTTCAGATGAGACTCTGAAATTTGTTTTCTAGTGTAGAAATCCTAAAGTGAATGGAAGAAATGAGGAAGCTGAAGAGCTGAACAGAAAATTCCAAAGGTTGGCTCGAGAAGAAAAAGTCAAGCACTATAGAGAAATGTGCTAAGATCTGGAGTTAGAAAACCCAAAGGGAAAAACATACTCAGCATTTTTCAAGCTGAAAGAACTGAAGACAAATTCAAGCCTTGACTTGCAATTATTTAAGTATGCTATGGACAAAACATTGAAAGATGAAGAAAGTATCAAAAGAAGATGGAAGGCATACAGAGTCACTATACCAAAAAGAAATGGTTGATGTTCAACCATTTCAAGGCATCGTATATGATCAAGAGCCAATGACCTTGAAGGAAGAAGTCCCAGGTACACTGAAGGCACTGGTAAAGAACAAGGCTCTGGGAATTGATGGACTACAAATAGAAATCTTTCAACAAACTGATACAGCACTGGAGGCACTCACCCGTCTATGCCAAGCTACCTGGCTAAAGTATTGGAAGAGATTTATATTTGTGCCTATTCCAAAAAGAGGTGACCCAACTGAATGCAAAAATCATCAAACAATATCATTAATATCACATGCAAGCAAAATTTTTCTAGAGATAATTCAAAAATGGATGCAACAGTACTTGAACAGAGAGCTGCCAGAGATTCAAGCTGGACTCAGAAGAGGAGATGGAACCACGGATATAATTGCTGACATCAGAGGGGTCTTGGTTGAAAGCAAAGAATACCAGAAAGGTGTTTAGCTATGTTTTATTGATTATGCAAAGCTTTTGACTGTGTGGATTATGACAAGCTATGGATAGCCTTGTGAAGAATGTGCATTCCAGAACATTTAATTGTGCTCACAAGGAACCTGTAAATAGACCAAGAGGGAGTTGTTAGGAGACAACAAGAGGATACTGAAGGGTTTAAGATCAGGAAAGGTGTGCACCAGGGTTGTATTCTTTCACCATACTTATTCAATCTGTATGCTGATCAGTCTGAGAAACTGGATAATGTGAAGAAAAATGTGACATCAGGATTGAAGGAAGAGTCATTAGCAACCCGATATATGCAGATGATACAACTATGCTTGCTGAGAGCGAAGAGGACTTATAATATTTATTAATGAAGACCAAAGACCACAGCAGCACCATTTCACCTCAATGTAAGAAAAACACAAATCCTCACGACTGGACCAATAAGTAACATCATGTTAAATGGAGAAAAGATTGAAGTTGTCCAAGACTTCATTTTGCTTGCATCCACCATCGACACTCATGCAAGCAGCAACCAAGAAATAAAATGATGTATTGCATTAGGCAAATCTGCTCTTCAAGACCTCTTTAAAGCATTCAAGAGCAAAGATATCATTTTGAGGAATCAGATGTGCTTGACCCAATCCATGGTATTTTAAATAGCTTCATATGCATGTAAAAGTTGGACAAGGAGTAAGAAAGACTGGAGAAGAATAAATAAGTCTGGGTTGGAAGAAATACAACCAGAATGCTCCTTGGAAGCCAGGATGGCTGGACTTCATTCCTTACACTTCAGACATGTCAGGAGGGACTAGTATGTGGAGAAGGACATCTTGCTAGGTAAAGTGGAGGGTCAGGGAAATAGAGGTAGACCCCCAATGAGATGGACTGGCACAGGGGCAGCAGCCCCAGCAGTGTTTTGTTTTCCTGTGCATAGGGTTCCTATGAGTTGGAGCTGACTAGATGGCACCTAACGACAAAAATATAAATAATGTAATATAAATAGAAATCTATGGGTGTTGTGGATTTGATCTTTATTGGTATGTACTCTCATTATTTATTAGTTGTATACAAGAGTTATGAGTTTCTGAGTCTTCTTCTGACATATTCATGTTTAAAACTTTTCCACTGAGACAAGTTGGGGAACTTAATTTCCAAACCTTGTGAGCTGATGCTTTGGCTTCTCTTGGAAGGAAATCATGTTATCTGCAAATAGCACTCATATTGCTCACCCCCAAACCCTGAACCCTCTTCCTTCTATCTGTTTCTGATAGATCTGCTTACGTGCTCATGCTGTCTCCCATAGACCATGGACTAAGTCCACCGGATGCAGATGGTAATGAGGATGGTGCTGCAACTGTGGCGTCCCACGCTTGTCTCAGGTTAGATCGTCTGCCTTCAACTGCCGGTGTGACCTGGCTGGGTATCTTCTTGTCTGGGGCAAGTGAACAGGAATTATGGGAGTGCTATCAGACCCAGCATTGAGACTGTGGCTCCTCGCTGACCCCAGTGTGGCTCATCTCTTGTCAGTCAGGTCCTACAACCAAAACCCAAACCTACCCCCACTGACTCTTGGGGGTAAACTGTTCTCTAGTAGCAGCCTCTGCTGGGGTTGTTCTGGGAGGGAGGGCAGGACCTTCATCCAGACAAGCAGGGATGGGGAAGGAGGAAGCCCACCATGTCCACCTACCTTGGCCTGGTGACCCCAGCCCAGTGATTGAGTACAATTCCCTTTGCTGGATGCTCACCCCCAGCGTTGTTGGAATGACTGTTGCTATGAATGTGGAAAACCCGTTGTGTGTATTGGGTCTCTCTTTCCAGCCTGATGTATATCTGGGGTTCGAGGGAGGAGAGACTGTGTCTGGTCCATGGAGAGAGAGCAGAGTTGACTCCTTTAGGCTCTTGGCTCTGAGGCCAACACATCTGTCCTTTATTAGAATGGTGTGACTCTCCAAGCCAAACTGAGATTGGGTTCCATAGTCTGCCCCTCATCACCTGACTCATCCATTGCTCATTTGTTGTCTTCATAGCATCTTGTTTTCATTTGTCCATATATCCACTCAGCACCCAGCTCTCTGCTCACCTAGAGTGGACACTCTATGCTTCCTGTTGGACAAATTGCCCATTGGTCACCCTTGGTCCCACGAGAAGCCTGTGCCCTACCCAGATAAGGTTGCAAACCCCTAAACACTTCCTAGGCTGGGATGATAAAGGGGCTCAAACAGTGGTCCAGGGCAGAGAGCTCAGAGCCCTTGGAGGTGAGGATGCAGCCTGTTCACACCCTACCCTCTCTATCCCAGACCCAGGGGCCCTGTCCCCATCTCCTCACCCAGGTCCTCCCCTCCTGCTGCAGATGCTGTGGGTGCTGTTGCTGACCCTCCCCTTCCTGGGGGCCACCATGCCCATGACCCCAGGTGTGTCTTAATCCCCTCCAATGCCTGCCCAATCCCTAAGCCTCTATCTGGAATCTGGGGAGCAGCCCTGGGGTGGTGTGGAGACCCCTCAGGATGGCCAGGCTCACTCCTGATCTTGCGGGGTAGGTGCAGAGCAGGGAGGCTGAGCTGAGTTCTGGGAAGGATTGCCACATGACCCCTTGCTCTGCCTCCTCAGCTCCCAGACCAGAGACAGAGCTTGAGGGCATTGTGGGGGGCTTTGCCATATTGCTCCAGCTAAGAAGTAGTCTTGGCAGGTCAGTCTGTGGGTGTACATCAGGATAGGGTGAATGGGTGCTCTCATGTGGGGGTTCACTCATCCACTGTGAGTGGGTGCTGACTGCTGCCCATTCTGTTACGGGGTGAGTGATCCACTCCTACTCATTGGGTAATGACATTGGGTGTAGTACCATGTGTTGTGAAGTTTTATGGCTGAAGTGCTGGGTCCATGGTGGGGTGGCTGCAGTCTAGAGGTCTCTCCATGTCCCAGAGTACATGCTCTGGTCTCTGAGAAGCTGACCCACTGCCTGCTGCTGTGCTGAGCTGGCTTCTTTCTGCCTCAGCTCTGAAGCTTTTGGTCTTCTCGTCCCTCTAGGACAAGACTGTAGCCTTCAAGTACGACAAGTGAAGCCCAAATGGCAGAATGACCTTTTTCAGGAGGTGACTGAGATCATCTCCCACCCCAACTACAACCCTGTGCTGAAAGGTGAAGGTGGGGCAGATGTGGCCCTTGTCAAGCTGGGGGCCCCCATGAGACTGTCTCAGGGCGTCAGTCTGGTCACCCTCTCTCATGAGAAGCTCACAGTCCCTGCAGGCACGAAGTGCTGGGTGACTGGATGGGGTAACATTGAACCAAAGGGTAAGAGTCAGGATAACTGGGTCCCGATGGCATGGGGAGGGCTGAAAGGGGGTGAGAATACAGAGGGCATTGTCACAGTGTTATCAATAGGGAGGGCCTCAGTCTCCCTGGGACCCTCTGGGGATGGATGTGGGTGGGGATTGGACTTGGTCATCTCAAGAGGGTACAGTTCAGGCAACGACCAGATGAGGTGGGAGGCAATCTCTGCCCTTCCTCTCCCTCAGTCCCTACACAGCCGTTCCTGCCCCCAGTGCTCCCTGCATCTTGAGGGGGAGGATGGGAAATGAGGCCAGTAGGGACTGAGGGAAATGGCCCACGTCCACTCTGATCCAGGGCCCTGAGTCTGCATTTTTAGGGGAACCACTTGTTTTGATTTTCCCAGTAACATTCTAGTGTGTGTGTGGCGGTGGGGTTAGGAAAGTCCCATCCCAGAGTCTCTCCTGAGACTGGTGCCCACTAGAGCGTACCAGCCTGTCAGCACAAGGAAACCATGCGAGGGGCCATGTGTTCCCCAGGGCATATCTGGGGAAACGGAGGCTTGGCATGCGCTTCCAGAATCTGGCATGTGGTTCTCCCAGTTACAGGGTTAGCTTCTGCACTGGACATCTGTGGAGACACTACCATGGTCATTGATGGACCAGGGTGATGGGGGAGGGGCACAGTCCCTTCATCGTGTCCCCCAGGCTCACTCACCTTCTCTCCACAGTCCAACTGCCAGCACCATACAACCTGCGGGAGGTCGAGGTGCCCATCGTGGATGATGAGGTCTGCAGACAGCAATATAGGAAGGTCAAAAAGGTCATCCTGAAGGACATGCTGTGTGCTGGGAGCTCAGGCCGGGACTCCTGCCAGGTGAGACCCTCACATCCAGATATCTGTCTCCCGATTGCTGCCCTTGCTCCAAACTCTCAGGGAGTATGAGGCTCACCACCTGTTCTTTCCTTCCACAGGGAGATTCTGGGGGCCCCTTGGTCTGTAAGCTGGGGGGCACCTGGCTCCAGGTAGGGGTGGTGAGTTGGGGTGAGGGCTGTGGCAATCCAGGCTTTCCTGGAATCTATGCCCGAGTGCCATACTATGACAAATGGATTCACAACCATGTTTCTCCATCTCCTTGAGTCCCGGGCAGGGACAAGGATGCTGCTGACAGAGGCAGACACTCCAGGATTTTTGGGGACCCCCATGTCTTCCTCTGTCCTCTGTTCTGAGATCCTCCCAGTGATCATACCCTCCTTTGAGTCCGGTCCCATCCTTAACATCTGAAAGGGGCATCAGGGATGACACCCTGAAGACATTAGTGACCTCCCAGAGATGAGGCTGGGCTGGGGAAGCCTCCCTGGACCACAGCCTCCTCCCACTCCCCATGTCCTAATAAAGCATCTGAGCAGCATGTTCCTGGCTGAGTGTCTTTTTTGTGGATGTGGCCAAGAGAGTCACTGGGTGAAGCTTTCCTAGGGGGTGGTCCAGGTGATGAAATTGGGACTAGACAGCTGTAGCTGCCTTTTGGGCTGACGGCAGAGGGTGCGATCTGCTGCTGAGGGTGTAGGAGTTTCCTACCTGGGGTCTGAGACACGAGCTTGGAACGCTCCAAGGAATATTAGCTGGGTTCAACGACTTCCTCCCTTCCTCCTCCCTCACCAGGTTTGAAACAAACTCAGTCCCTCCTCTCAAACACTCACTGTATGTTTGGGAGACAGAAAGCTGAGCACATGATTCAAAAGACCACATTAAGTGAGGATCCCAGTGACCAGAATGGACAGGGGAAAGCAGAATGTTGCCCCCTTCTTCTCATCCTGCTCTCTATGACCAGTACATCTGGCCCTCACCCCAATGAAGGCAGCATCTGAGCAGAAGGAAGTCCATCTCATTTACTGATGAAAAGTCCTTCTGATCCAATTTCTAAGTTCAGTCTCTCATTCCGTTTAGAGCTTCTCCTAACCCAGGTCCAGCCAGAAAGGGGCTGTGGGTGGGTCCAACCTCTCATCTTCAATTTCCACAGCCTGGAACTTTCTCCAGCTCTTGATGCCTCATTGACTGTAGGTGGTCAGAGAGGAGACAAGAAGGGACAGGAGCGCTTCCTGATTGTGGCCTCTCTCACTAGAGTTGGTGACCTCTGCTGGAGGAAGATCATGCTGTGTTTCCCTCCTTTGGGCCCCTCCATCCTCTGTGAAGCTCTCATTGCCTTTGAGGACTGAGATAGGTTGCATGTGGTTCTGGAAGCTTCTGGTTACCAGTCCTTCATGTGTTGCCTGTTCCCATTCACATTAGAGATCTAGTTCTGGTGGGCCCGGAGGAGTGAGAATTCATCCTGAATTCCTCTCCTTCTCTTAGGACAGGGGTAGATCTGTTAGTTGCAAATCAGTCACCTGAGAGGATGGTCAGTGCCAGGCTGGGGTTTAGAGGTCCCATCACAGCAGCCCTGACTTCAGCTTGAGTTAAGGAACCAGATGCCGGATGACAAGTCAGATGCAGGATTCCAATCCAGCAAAAAGCAAGCAAGCTTTGCTTGAGGGTCCAAGATATTGGAAAGAGGCCATGTTCTGCAAGTGCACGTCCTTTCAATTGTCTGGCTGCTCATAGCAACCTCATCATGGGAGTGATTCTATTACATTAGATTTTGTCATGGGTGATTACTGTGTCTGAATCATAACCTTAATTCCACAAAGGTGAGAGCGTTTCTGGTCTGTGAGGAGAGTGCAGGGACATCTCCTCCATGTCCTGAGCTCCAATCCCAGAGTGTCTGTCCTTTTCCAGGATGGGGTGAGTGTCTCAGGAAGGGTCTCAGTTGTGTCCCTACTGCAGACTGACCCTGATGTCACCTAGGTCTTGTACCAAATGTCCCCCTTTCAATCCATGTCCTATTTCTGATTTGCTTTCTTCACAGCATCTTATTTTCCTTTTGTCCACGTGTGTTTTGTCCCTCTTCCCACTGGTCTGCCCAGCATCCAGCTCTCTGCTCATTTCAGTGAAGGTGATTTACAGCTCTCATTGGACAAATTACCCGTCATTCACCCTTGATCCCACTGAAGGAGAAGTTCTGAAACCTCCCATGCCCCACCCTGGAGGAGCTGCCTCCCCATAACCACTTCCTGGACTGGAGGATAAAGGGGTTCAGAGAGGGGTCCAGGACAGAGAGCTGCAGAACCTTGTAGAGGTGAGTATGCTGCCGAACATACCCTCCCCATCCCAGACCCTGGGGTCCAGTCCCCATCTCCTCACCCCAGCCCTCCTCTCCTCCTGCAGATGCTGTGGGTGCTGTTGCTGATCCTCCCCTATCTGGGGGGTTCCATGCCCATGACAAGAAGTAAGTCCTGACAACTTTCAATGCTTGTCCTATCTCTATGTCTCTTATCTGGTATTTAGGGAGCAGCCTGAGGGTGGGTTGGGGGTCCCTTTTAAGGATGGCCCAGTTCACTCAGAGCAGGGGAGGCTGAGCTGAGCTCTGGGCAGGCATGCTTCTGTCCCTGATAACAACTGCCCCCCTTTGCCTCCCCAGCTTCTAGCCTGGAGACTAAGTTTGTGGGTATTGTGGGGAGCCATGATGCCCCGCCAGGGAAATGGCCATGGCTGGTCGGCTTGGTGTTCTGGGACACAGAAGATGAGGATATTTGGTTTGGATGTGAAGGCTCCCTCATTCACAAGGAATGGGTGCTGACTGCTGCCAGCTGTGTTGAAGGGTGAGTGACGTCTTCACCTGGTTGGGTGAAAATATTGGGGGCAGTGCCATGTGTGTTGTGGGGTTTCCTGGGCAGGGTAGCTGCAGTCCTGGGTCCTGGGTCCTAGGGGATTTGGTTCCCCTCCAACTAGAGAGGAAGCTCTGGGATCCTAGAGACTGACCCACCCCCTGCTGCTGACCTGAGCTGGGTTCTGCCACAGCCTCTGAGGACCTTCTGGTCTTCTCTCTTCCCCCCTGCAACAGACTAGATCCTGAGGATGTTCAGGTCCGAGTGGGTCAAGCACAGCACTTACGGAGTGGTAACTCTGTGAAAGTGACAAAGATCATTCTTCACGAGGACTATGATGATGAGGAGGGACAAAGAAGTGGGAAAGACGTGGCGCTTCTGAAGCTGGAGTTTCCCTTGAATCTCTCTAGTCAAGTTCAGCTGATCGACCTCCCTCCACCTGAGTTTTCACTTCCCTCAGGCACCAAGTGTTGGGTGATGAGCTGGGATGAACTTGCAAACAATGGTAAGGGTCAGGATGACAGGGGTCAGGTGATATGGAGAAGATAGCAGTCAGTGACACAGTGATATTGCTGGTCTCAATTCCGACCTTGCTGGGACCCTCTGGGAATGGGTATGAGCTGGAGTGCTCAGCTGGAGGGACTGGACATAGGAGGGAAGCTCTGCCCTTACTCTATCCAAGGCCCCATGAGGGCCTTACTGTCTGCCCCCATTCTCCCTGCATCTTTTTTTTTTTTTTT